TTATTTTTATTTTAAGAGCATAATTTAGTAAAGTTTTGGAGTAAATATGGGGGAAACTATATTGTTGTAAGAAGAACAATGTTATTAGTTACATAAAAGTAAATCACAGTTTATTTTTTATTTTTCTTGCTCGCGAATGGGTATTTTTTGCAAAGTGAATTTCCATCACATTCACTAAGCTAAGGAAGATTCCCTTGCATAGTGAACAGCCTGTTTACATACCTCCCTATACACCTATGTTGACTTTCTGAGCTTGATTTACAAAAGTATGCTTTTCACCTTGCAAGGGAAATTCCTTTTAGCCTAGTGAATGAGATGACGCTCTGCTGACTTCAACTGCTGAACATTCAATCATGTGGAACCAAAAATACTGTCTTTTTTATGTTCCTTGCATTCTGGGCATTCTTTGCAAATTCATTTTTTATCACATCAACTAAGCTAAAGGAAAAATTCCTTGCAATGTGAACAGCTTATTTGCCGTTTTGCAAATCAACCCCTGTGTCTTGAAGGAGGTTACAACCTCTATTACATTATTATAATTTACACTTTTAATAAAGAGCATGTGTTACATACATTTGTTCCATGCATTATAAAGGTGACTCTGGCCTGCAGCACTGATCTTTAAGTCCTTCTCATCATTTTGCTTGTGCTTTAAACTTATCCTTTCATTGGTGCAGCCATTCTTTCACGATGCCCTTTCAGTCACCAGAAAATAAATATGTACACAATTTGACAAAGAATAGAGAAACTCCAAAGGCTTAGGCGTAGGCTGCAGGCGTAGCGATTCGAAGCAAAGCAAAGCAAACCGAAAAAAATTGCAACCTTCCACTTCACACCGCACCGCAACGCAGCTTGTCTACACTGTACTGTATTTTTTCATGGTTACCTCTACAGATTCTGCTTGTCATGGATTCCTCTACAGAGTGGTTAAACCAGGTAAGCCCTTAATATTCTTTCTGTTTTATGAGACCAAATAACGTTTAATGCATTAAAATTATGCTTCAATAAACAAAATTATGTGATTATAGGTAATATATCTGGAAAGGAGGAGACGGATTTTCGCTTCCATCTATATAGATTTCCTGCCTCAGGGAATACCAGAAGAAGGTGGATAAGGCCCATTTACCAACAAAGGGAGCAACAAGGGGTCTTTAATCATCTGATTCAGGAAATGCGATTGAATGATGAAGAAAGCCACTACTTGTATTTCCGAATGTGTAAAGAACATTTTGACAAGCTGCTGACATTAGTAGGACCCAGAAGAAAACACAAATTTCCGTCAATCAATCAGTCCTGCTCAAAGGCTAGCAATCACATTAAGATTTTTGACCACTGGAGAATCCTATTCCAGTATTGGTTTGGCATTCCGCTGTGGAAGAACAAGAGTTGGACAGATTGTCCCAGAAACTTCTGTAGCATTGTGTGATATTTTGTGGCCATTATACATGTCTATTCCAAACCAGGAAATTTGGAAGAAAATCTGCTATGAGTTCTGGGAGAAATGGCAGTTTCCCATGTGTATAGATATGAAATGTCTAATAATTTTCTTAAATCATGAATGTTTATGTATTCCAAATATCAAATTAATTAATTTATTATTACATTTATTTTTAGGGGCAATGGATGGAAAATATGTTTATATCCAAGCTCCACCAAATGCTGGATCAATGTGGTACAACTACAAGGATTCTAACTCCATTGTACTCCTGGCACTTTGTGATGCTGACTACAAATTTATCATTGTCGATGTAGGGGCATACGGTAAACAAAGTGATGGTGGAGTTTTTTCTGAAAGTAGTTTTGGGAAAGCAATTATAGCTGAAGATCTTGATTTGCCATCAGCAAACAAGATACCAGGGACATCCATCAGTGTCCCACCTGTTATTGTTGCTGATGAAGAATTCCCACTACTCCAAAACCTCATGAGGCCTTTTCCTAAAAGGGCTATTAAAGAAGACCAAGTAATTTTCAACAGGAGACTATCACCTGCTCAGCGGATCTCTGAAAATGTGTTTGGCATCTGTTGTGCAAAATGGAGGGCAATTTTGAATTCATTATACATGCATCCAGATAATGCAGAAACTGTTGTAAAAAGCATTTGTGCATTGCACAACTATATCAGAATTGAGGACGCTGCAATGGAACCCAACAGAAGAAGGTACTGCCCTGTTGGATATATGGATACGGAGGAAGGAAATGGCAATATAATATCTGGACGATGGAGGCAAGAAGTGGATGAGATCGTGTCCATGGATTAAGTAGGCAGGGTGCCAATAACTATACCAAAGCAGCAGAGAAAATTAGAGAACATTTTGTGAAGTATTTTAAATCAAATGAGGGCAAGGCACATTTTTTAGAAAAGACAAATGTATTGTGCAGCATCTTTTAAATGACAAAAGTGCATGTCATAAACACAAAACATTTTCAAAACTTGAACGAAGAAGTGCATGTAGTTACCAACAAACATTTTCTACACTTCAAATAAGAAGTGCATGTCGTTACCACCAAACATTAAATAAAAAGTGCCTCCTGCTAATACAAAACAGTTAATGTTAACACAATACATACATGTGTACAAATTATAACTGTTATAACTGATGCATGTTTAATGCAAGTAAAGTGTGTACACATTCAGACCAAGTATATCAATATTCTTGCTCCTCATCGATTACTTTAAGGATTCGAATTTTAGCATTAGTTTTATTGCGCGGAAACTGCAGGTCCTGCCATTCATGTGGATGTTACTTTGACACGTAAACATTGCTGCTGACCAGTGCCCTGCCACAATGTAAAAATAGTTCAAGTATGGCTTGAAGAACACAACAATGACTTCATGGCATTGAATTGGCCTCCAAATTTTCCAGCTCCCAAGCAAGCATCTGTGGGATGTGCGGGTAAAGAAGTCTGATCCATAGCGGCCTCACGTCACAACATGATCTGCTACTGACAGCATGGTGGCAGATACCACAGCATACCTTCAAAGATTCAGCGGAGCCTCTATAGGTCAGGGCTAGGGATACACCAATACCATTTTTTCCAAAATGAGTACAAATACCAATACTTTTTCTCAAGTTCTTGCCAATACCAATTGCCAATTACCAATACATTTTTTTTAGCGACAGTTTTTCTAAAACATTACAGACTAATGAGTTAGGGTCAGTGGTGGATAACCAGGGCCCAGTTGCAGCTGCAAAAGCTAACACCCTGGTAGTTCTGCCACTGGCTCCAGACTGTAGAGGGACTACAAGTTTCGCTTGTAGTAGGCACGCTGTCGCCAAGCTGAGCGGGGGTTTGGACTGTACTAGACACACTGCTCGCGAAGGGCCGGGAGTCTGCGCTTGCCTGTGCTCCACGCTGCTTCGCCTGCAGTGTGTCACGGCCTTTAGTCTTCATAGAGTGGACAACTAAAAGAAGTAATATGGGGTCCAAAAGGCAATTACATTCTTGTAAATGCATTCATGTAATCTGAAATCAGTCGCCAGAATAGTGAGATATTTCCATACGAATCCACTAACAGTTTTGGAAGTTAGAGCATCACAGCCCACATTTTGAACACTGGTTAGATAGACCATCTAATGAAACACAATTGGCCATTGTTGTTGGCTCTGTAGACCCTGGTCATAAAACTGAATTATGCGTCTCTCTCCAGACCTCATTAACAGTACAGGAGGGAATTTGTAAACATCGCATTAGATAAATGCTGGTGGAACTCAAGTGCTTGTGCCTCTTAGATCTTTATCAATTGGTTGTAGTTAACGAAGTTGTATTTGGGCAGAAATGCATTTTACAATAAATACAAAATGACTTTGTTACATACTTAGTCAGGTTAAACCTATAGAAGAAATGAATAAAGAGATACATTGAAACCCCCCATATACAGAACCATAAAACCACAGTTGAGCTAGCAGAATAAAAAATAAAAATAAACCTTCCAAAGCATGGTCTAATTTGCTTATAAACTTATATATATGGCTGGCTAGAACCAGTTCCCCAAGGAGTCTATTTCACATATGCACAGCTCTTACTGTGAAGAAGCCTTTTCAATCATTAAAGAGTCTCTACAAATTAACCACTTGCTGCCCGGAGCAATTTCTTACATTTGCACACACATGAATTTCTGGCTAGAAAACAGCTTCAACCCCCCAAACAATGATATATTTTCTGAAAGCAGAGGCCCTGTAGAATAAAAAGATGCTATTTGCAATATTTTATGTTGCACAGTATTTGCACAAATGTTTATCAAACCAGTATTTTTAGGATGAGATACACTAAAATTAAATTTAATACACCGAAACAGTATATAACACCCAATTTCTTGGTAAAATATAAAAGATGGGGTCATGCCGGGTAACTAGATACCAACCATGTTAAGCCTTAAAATTGCGTGCATCTGCAAATGACCACAATAACCAAAATTTCCCATAGGCGACGCTTTAAACACTTTTAGGGCTCATCAGTTTAGTGTTAATAGTGAGTGATTGCTCTTACTCCGACACTCGCGACAATATGTAACGTGTGGCACAATTTTTGTTTTTGCACGTAGGCGCATCCGACGCGTGTTTGTGTTTTATGTGCGTGCATGTGGGGGACAGGGACTTTTTTTTTTGCATTTTTTATTTTTCTTTATCTGTTACTTTAACTAACATTTTTTTACACTCAGTTTTATTGCTATCGCATAGGGGGATAACAAGCCCCCTATGTAATAGCAAATATAATGTGACAGGTCCTCTTTATGGAGACATCAGAGGTATTTCAGACTCCTAATGTCACCTAGGGACCCCAAAGAAGCTAATGAAGCCGAGATCTGCTTCACCAGCTTCTTCTTCTGGCTCTAGGAGCCGGAAAAAGTGCCCGTGACACCGGAAGTAATGTAATGCACATCACTTCCGGGTCCAGTGATCAGAGGAGAGATCAGCGACATTGTCCAATGAAAAGAAGTCCTGTCCATGACATAATTCCTGTTCCTGTTTGTGGTTATCATCGAGAGAGGAGACAAGACCATGGAGATGTACTCATCCAGAGCATGCCTGGTTGCGGCTGTAGCCATGACGTTGTTGATTCTGAAGAAGAGAAAGCGTAGGCGACGCTTCTGGGTGCATCCTGTTATTGCAAATTGCATTGTTATTGCAAGGCCAGTTTTGGGCCATTTATACAAAACTGCGTAGCCATGATGGTTGTGCCTGTATTAGCTTTTGCAGACTTGAATCAGCCATTTTGCTTCCCAGTGTGCTTTGCAGGTGGTCTTCCACAATGTATATGCACCTTAAAAACGCGATTTCTTTTTGCACGAAAACGCGAAAAACCTCCACATTCGCATTTTTGGTGCGTTTTCCATTGAAATCTATTGAGCACAAATGCGCTGAATCTGCCTGAAAGAAGCTCATGCACCTTTTCAAGCGTTCAGCATTTTTGCAGCTTGCTGCAAAAACTCTCAGGTGTGAACAGGGGCTATAGGAATGAATGGGAATTCTTGTGTTGTGTGTTTTGACGTTTAAGCTTTCAGTGTCAAAACGCCCAGGTGTGAACAGGGACTTACTGAGTGTTCCTGTTCATTCATAACTTGTGGAGATAGTATGTCTACTATCTCCACAATCATGAATGAACAGGAAGTGATGTATAGCACTTCCCTTTCATTCATAATTAGGGACACAGTAAACATACTCTGTCCTCAATTATTTACAAGCAGTCACTGATCACTGATCGGTGACTGCTTGTACCCGGTCTCCATCCTGACTCGCTGTCACAGGATGCTGAGCTGGCGGTGCGTGGCGGAGAGCTTGGCCTATTTTGACAGATGACCTCTCCCCCACATCGCTGACTCAGCCTCATGTGACAGCTCTGACAGCTGTCTCCGCCCCCACACCGCTCCCCATCCTGATGTAAGTGAGGCAGTGCGGAGGAGAGCTCAGTCTATTTTGACAGCTGACCCCTCCCCTACACCGCCGACTAAGCCTCCTGTGACAGCTCTCATAGCTGTCTCCGCCCCCCACATTGCTCTAAATCCTGATTTGAGTGAGGCAGTGTGGGAGGGGAGCCCAGCCCCCTGTGACATGCCGGCCATTCATAGCGATCTCCTCCGCCGCATCGCTCGGCCTCCTCTGACAGTTTCTCTCCACCCTGCTGGACGCTGCTCTGTGTCAGAGGGGACACAGAACAGCGCCCAGCGGAGAGAAGAGAAACCAGGCATGCACTGCAATTTTGGCCAAAAGATGTTACTTTCGTCATTTTGCCAAAAGTGCCATTTTCAGCCGATATGTTTCGGCGGCCAAAATTTCGGTGCATCCCTACTATGATTACATCTTTATGTTTGAAAAGAATTGTTTGCATTGGTTAGAAAAACCTGAGATATTTGATAATTCTGAAGAGATGACATCTGCCTATCACTGATTATGTATTGAGAGAATGTGTTCCATTGCTTTAGTTTATTGTACTTTTAGTATTAATTAATACAAGTGCATGTAGACATTATAACTGATACCTTAGTGTGCTGAATGATGGTCCAATCTTTTGGAAGCAGCTCCCCTAATCATGCAAATCACGCAAAACTAGCAGTCACGGGGAGCACTGCTTTAGATGTTACACTGCAGATATACAGCTATGAGGTTGTAGGTCAGGACAGCCTAGGCACACTCACACTCCAGGAAGGAATGTGCTATTTTAATGGAGGAACAAGGTACATTTTGCAGTCTACGGCTTTGGCACAATTAACATATGTAAATATTCCCTTTACCATAGAAAATCTCCACTTTTCACTTTTTGAGTTCACTTCCACTTTAAGGTAGACCTTACAGAAGTTTGTATTGAAAACATGTATGTAATTATATTTTTATAAAAAAAGAAGCCCAGTTGTGTATACGGTCACCTGGGAGAATGTCCCCTTATACATAAGAGCTGTACAAATTCTGTGGTATTCTAGTGGTAGGAACACATTTAGAAGTGATGTGCAAACACTTCTCTATGTGCACGTTATCAGCATGAACTCTATACATGGGAAAAAGGATCTGCAGTCAACTTACATTACAGGGCAGACTGTACAGGTACATAATCCTGGTATATGTGAATGTCATAATTCTACTAACACTGATCATGGCTAATAAATGAAAAAATTCATCACACATGTAGAAGCATAGAAGTGTTGTACTTTTTTTGTATCATTTCTGTATTATTATTATATTGGCAATCACGAGATGCACACACATGCATAGACTTGCACTGTTGGTGTTCTTAGTAAGTGTACGTGTACTAAGCATGTTAGAGATGACTCAGGTGAAGTTTTCTATAGTAGAGATGTTTTTCATATACAGGACCTCTATACTAAATACAGGTTATTGGTAATTTCATGCTACAGCCTGCAGTAAGGCTTATTGTTAATGCCAGAATTAAATGCAGACATGTTGAACTGAGTTGATGATAATGTATTGGTCTGTCTTGTGATATCTAAATTAAATGGCATCTTGTATTCCGTTCACTGCCAAATACAGCTTGTGTTAAGGCAATGCAAAATGTGAAAACCCTGCCAAAGCGCACTTACCCATGACAAGCAGCAATGTTTAAGTTCATTGCAGTCACATACAAAAAAAAGATTATGTCTGAAGTTCTGTAGGTTAGATAAGGCAGCATACATTTTTGCCATGTGCATGTTTATGTAGCAAAGTACAAGTATCAGAAAACATTAAGGGATATATATTTATACAGTATATGTGATGTTTGTTGACTTAATATATAGAAATGATAATATATTGATATTATTGTATACATCATATTCAATTATGGAGCAGACAGTCAACTTGAGAAGTACTTATATGTTCTTTTCTAATAAATGACACAAAAATCTAAGTGGCAGAATGACCAATCAGTAAAAGACAAATCCTAATACGTTTTATGTGTACTGCACATTGTACTTGGCATTTTGCTTCTTAAAAATTGTAATTGAATTGACCCATCCATGTTAAATGCTGAGTTGTAATTTTACTACAAGGAGCAGACTTGTGTATTTCTATCAAATTAACCACTTAGTGCCCGGAGCAATTTTAAAATTTTTGCACACACAAGTTCAATCTCACAAAATAGGCTAGAAAACAGCTTAAAACCACCAAACAATTATGTATTCTCTGAAAGCAGAGGTCCCCGTAGAATAAAGATATAATAAAAATACATGACATTTATTATGTTGCATGATATATGTGCAAGTGTTAATGTGCGCAATCTATATTTTTAGACAAAAATATACTACAATGAATTTTAGTGAACATAAACACAATACCTAATTTTTTGGTAAAATATAAAAGATGGTGTTGTGTCAGGTAAACAGATACCAAACATGTTAAACCTTAAATTTGCGCACGCCTGTGAAATGGCAAAAAAATTACAGCACCCAAATTTGCCCATTGGTGACACTTTAAAAGCCTTTACTGCTCATCAATTTAGGGTTAACAGTGAGTGATGGTGCTAAAATGTTTGCTATCACTCCGACATTCACAACAATATTTAACATGTGTGGTGCAATCAATTTTTTGGGACATAAGCTCACCCAATGCGTGTTTGTATGTGCGTGTACATGGGGTAGAGGGCTTTTAAAAAAAATGTTTTTGTTTTTTTAATGTTACTTTAATTTTTTAAACTTTACACTTAACTTTATGGCTATCACATAGCAACAAGGTTCTGGGCCCACATAAGGGACGTGGAGCCTGGGTGTGGGTGGTAACGCAGCACAATTTTCACCTGTATATAGTTTATTGGCAGCTCTACTACATAAAAATGCACATGGCCCAAACATTTGCATGTGAAAGACTACAGTTGGTTGAAAAAATGTATTCCTGCTGCAGATGTGATCTTGGTATAACCACTTCGGGACCGCAACATTTAAATGTGTACTGCAGTCCTGAATTGGTTAAATATATCCTTGTGTTCAAGCTTGTGAATTGAGCCAATTCATTGATTGAACCTATTTTATTGATCACCAGATTACAATGGATGGAAGAGGGGTGGACTGATGGACTACAACTCAGCACTGTCTGATTACATTAAACTTATATGTGCCCGCATGTTGAGATTTAAAGAATAACTCACCCTGAATATAGTAGTCTCCATGGTGGCTGGTTTGCACAGCACAATGCTACACATTACATTTATTTACAAGTTATAATGCAGCCAATACAGAGCTTTCAGCAAAAAGGAAGAATAAAACACTGTCCTTCAAGTGCCCCTAATGCAATAATGCAAGATAGTTCCTAAGAATGAAGCACATCCAAGTTCTTAACCTTTCTTTTCCCTGAACCCCTGGCCTAATACTAAGTTCATCTACCTCATAATCTGAACTTTAAAACCAAGCCAAATATCACAGCACCAAGATGCCATTGCTATCATTTTATCATTTCACAATCTGAATACAGTGGAATTGTAACCAGTTCACACATTTATGAACACGCTGTGAAGATTGATGTATAATAAAGTCCAATAAATTGTTTTTGTTCTTCCTGAATTTATTTTCAATCAGTTCTAATGTTTCAATCACATTTAAATCCAAGGCAGAATATAATGTTGAACATTGAACTTTACTAGTTCTCTCTATCTTTCTCTCTCTCCCTCTCTC